GGTTATGCAATTGTAGAAACACTAGTATACACATTTGTTTTATTCGCTACTCTATTAATTTAGAAAAGGGAGTCAATTATTCCATTTTATATATTTTTCCCCAAGTATAATTTCGATCTGACCACGTGTAGCATGTTTGCCAAAGCTAAACTCGTTTTTTTCTAATTCTCCACCTCTTTTCATCTACTGAAATGAATGAAATACAAAGTAAATAACTTATATTCCTTAATGCTTACATATTTTGTGGCTGTCACTTACTTTTGTCGGTATATTTTCACACATGAGAGAAAATAATTGCTCCAGCAAGGTGCTTTCCATTCTGCAAACTTCAAGCATCTAATGACGGAGATCGGCTTCTGATTGGTTGCTTCTCGAAAGTAGGCGGGGTCTGATCCCGGCAATAAAAACATCTATTGCAACCATTTATAATATAGTTTCATCACAAAAATGCCGTAATCGTGTTTCAATAATCGAATAACACCTTACCAGTATCATTTTTTTATCCTCATGCACGCATGTAATTTGTATTCAACAATTTTATCGATGGACGCTGCTTACGGAATCCGCCATTGATGAATATATAATGAGGTTATTGCGGAGTTACCTACCCCTGACAAAAAATCCGCGAAATTGCCTTAACATCACTGCGTAATAACTGAGACTTAAAGAAATCTCTACCAAGTTTCGACCTTTTATCGCTCAGAAAACGAATAGTACCTCAACCAAGAGATGACATACTAAAATATTTCTCATACATACACACATTTATGTTTGCCAATTTATCAGTTAAAGGCGTCATAGACCATGTAATAAATATTTTCAAAGTAAACGAAATGTTCTTTTACAAAATAGAAAGTCTTGCCAACAGTTTTTTTATCTGAAAATGCCACATTATGATTGCAACGTTATATAGAGTGGCAATTGTTATTTATTACATACTGGTAGTTGAAAACTGCGATTGATAGTTTTTATTTAAAGGTGGAGAATGGAAGTCTTCTTTCTTAAATGCGTTAAGTTAACTGCTGTTACCAAAAAACTATATTTGTCTCAATAATTAGTGTTCTTTTCCAATGTTCATGTTAGCTAATTTATTTTCGACTTATGAGTATGAATATCCTTCGCCTCTCTTTTACATTGAACATTTTTTTCACCATAGATAGATGTCGATTCGTAAAATTTTGATAAATATCCTATAGGGATTTAGACGCAAGTCGATCAACATCTTTCTGTATAGGCAACAGTAGTTTACAAATTTTCAACCAAGTGGCATTGACAGATTGTTTTTCTAAAAATTTACTTGATCATTATAATTTTTCCAAAAAAAGTTTGTATAAAAGTATAAAAGTATAAATAAAATGGCCGCATAATAATTCAGTAATATTTTATGTCAGGATGTATTGTATTATACAAATGACAGCAATATTTGAACACAATGAGTACAAAATTTTGCCTGCATAAATATAGAGTGCCAGCATGTCCTCCTTATGTTCAATGTATTCATGATATTGATACGTAACATAATTTCAGTAGTTTTGATACCCCAGGCTGACGTGTATAGCAAAATTATTAGACCGTATCAACCAAAACTGACCATATTTACACTTTATTATGTAAATCTTTATAGCTGCATAATAATTCGGTAATATTTTTATGTCAGGATTTAATGTAAAATACAAATACACAGTAGTATTTAAACACAATGACTACAAAATTTTGTCCGCATAAATTTAGAGTGCCAGCATGTCCTCCTGTTGTACTTTTGATACCTCAGGCTGACTGGTATAGCAAAATGTTTTAACAGTATCAACTAAAACTGACCATATTTGCACTTTAGTATATAAATCTATATGGCTGCATTATAAATCAGAAGTTTTTTTATGTTAGGATGTATTGTATTATAATACACATGAAAGCAATATTGGAAAACAATGAACGCAATATCTTTTCCGCATCAATTTAGATTGTCAGCATTTCATCTCTGTATTCATAATATTAGACCGTCACTAGTAGTTCAGGATGGTGTGTATAACAAAACTATTTGACAGCATCATACAACACTGACATGTCTGATTTCCTTTTTACTTTATAATGAAAAGTATAAGAAGTTCACTTCTGGAAATAGTATACTGTTAATACATTATGTCGGTTGATTGATTTTGTTTGTAGCTAAACCTCAAGTGGCAACTATTTCATTCATGTGCACAACGAATATATTTTTTGGAAGTCCCATTTATCATTTTTAATTGGTAAAGACAAATCTGACGAAATTGACGATATTGTTCATAATTATTCAACACCTTATCTATCCGGACACTATACAATTTTCGTTAGAATATTTGTCGGAAACAGAATCGTAAATCCAAGGCAAACAAGGTGAATTGCGATGAAATATCCATGTAATGCATAAAGTTAAATTTAGGAAGAGACTGTAAAATATGGGGAACGAAGCAACATCGACAATGATGTTGATATCCCATGATTTAAAAATATTGTTCCGATGCGTTGGATAACCTTTCTAATCGCCTTCTAATTAAATAAAAACTTTCCTTTCTTTAATGATAGCTGTATGTGATCACAAGTGTGTAATTTTATAGCCATTGTTTAATGTATATAAGAATATGAAATGAAAAAAAAGATTTGTTTTAAGTGTATAATATCGATAGAGTCCAACGAGTAAAGAAATTTGCTATGCTGGGAAAAAAGAGCAATGCGATTATTGTTTACATATTAAAAGCTCAGGTCTTAAACACGGTAATCTGTCATAAGCAGACCTGTTCCCAGGTCTGGTCAATATCAGACTTGTCCACAGGTCTGGTCAGGAGCAGACCTATCCACAGGTCTGATCTGGAGCAGACCTGTCCACAGGTCTGGTCTGGGGTAGACCTGTCCTCAGGACTGGTCAAAAGCAGACTTGTCCACAGGTCTGGTCTGCAGCAGTCCTAAAAAAGCAGACCGTAGGTCTGGTCTACCAACGACGAAGTTAATTTGATTGTCTGCTTAAAATTTCCCAAGTTAACTTGAAAAGCAGTCAACAAATCTGCTCAAAGTTAATTTTTGTACAGGTTAGGACCGCACCCATCTGTACACCGTACTCGTGCGTTTAAATGGATGAATGTGAGCATGTGTACCATTCTGTAAACTATCTTTCAAGACGAGAACGTCATAATTGATATTTGAATATTTTCTTAATGTGATACTAGATCTATACAGTAAGTCGTATAGTGACGTCCTAGTTCAGACTAACATTACATAGAAGACGTATAGTGACGTCCTAGTTCAGACTAACACTACATAGAAGACGTATAGTGACGTCCTAGTTCTGACTAACACTACATAGAAGACTTATAGTGACGTCCTAGTTCAGACTAACACTACCTAGAAGACGTATAGTGACGTCCTATTTCAGACAAACACTACCTAGAAGACGTATAGTGACGTCCTAGTTCAGACTAACACTACCTAGAAGACGTATAGTGACGTCCTATTTCAGACAAACACTACCTAGAAGACGTATAGTGACGTCCTATTTCAGACAAACACTACCTAGAAGACGTATAGTGACGTCCTAGTTCAGACTAACACTACATATAAGACGTATAGTGACGTCCTAGTTCTGACTAACACTACATAGAAGACGTATAGTGACGTCCTAGTTCAGACTAACACTACATAGAAGACGTATAGTGACGTCCTAGTTCAGACTATCACTACATAGTTGGTCGTATTAATCTGTCGGGTTACATTACACGACCTCATGCAATTGGGACGAATATGATGATATGCTACAAAAGAAAAATCGAATCGATTTTTATCTTTTTGGTCCGGTTTAATATTGATCAATCCTTAACATGTGACTTGAACGAAAAGTTTGTGAATCAGCTGACATGTGTGGAAAATCGTTTACAGGGTATATGTACAATAGCCGATGAAAGAGTATCATTTCTTTTATACTAGCCAATGAAATGCTGTAGAAAAATAGTATGTTCAGTTGATATGGTGATCGTTCATGTTATCAGAGCATGAGAAAATATCAAAAAAACAGAATCTACTGTACATTTAATTGTATTACTCAATATCATGAGATATATCGATCAAATAACTTATCATCGTTCTCATGGGATCCGCATGTTGTTGGGATGTGTAAATACCCTGTCAAGTTAGATATGTGTTTTTGCTAGACGTTTTCGATCTGATCAGTTTAACCCTTTTCAACTCATTTTTTATAGTTTGCTCTTATGTTGTACTGTTACACCATTGTCCCAGGTTAGGCGCCAGCAAACTACTTTAACCCCACCACATTCTGTATGCATCATTCCAAAGTCAGGAACCTGTAATTCAGTGGTTGTCGTTTGTTGCTGTGTATCATATTTGTTTTTCGTTCATTGTATTGTATGAAAATCAGGCCGTTAGTATTTCTTGTATGAATTGTGTTACAATTGTATTTTTGGAGTCTTTTATAGCTAATTCTTTGGTATGGTTTTTGCTCATTGTTGATTGCCAGACGATGACCTATAGTTGTTAGCTTTTATGTAATTTTGTCCTATTGATAATTGTTGTTCTTTACAAATTCTTATGTCGTTTAATTCGTTAACGAACTTATGTTCCTTTTTAAAGAATAAAACAACATTAACTCTTTGCTTTAAAGACAATAACACAAACATGTTCTCTTTATCGAAATATTTTCCAGAATATCCTAAAGATTTAGACGTTCTTTTGAGACATGATTTTTACCATAATGAAATCTGCAGTGTATACAAAAATGGACGTCGATGACAATTTGCAGAATTCATCACTGAACCTATCACTTTGTTTCTAAGAATAAATATTTTCTTTGAAAGTATTAGCTTATCGTATCAAGTCACCAATGATCACTCTTTACGACGGCAGAACTTCAGAGATTCGTAACCGTTGGTAATAGTAGTCATACTCTGCCACTGATTAACCATAGATTTTGTTATCATTTGCTTCGTGATAAAAATATTGTAACAATATATACATACAGGTAGTTAAGAGCTGGTAGGTCTTGAAATGCTCCTTGCTGTATTGTAGTTATTTGATTGCTGTCCAAAAACCTGAAACACAATAACGATAATGTTCAATATATTTTACACTAAAAATATATTAGTTATTATCATTGATAGATACATATCATATAAGGATATTGGTGTGACCCTGAACCCAGTCAATAAATAGGATTAAATGTAAGCATAGTCTTGGCAATCACTGAGGTTTCTATAACAGTCTTTATATGTCGTTTGAGACATGAATATTTTTTAAAAATAAATTTAAGCATACGAAATCACATAGAAGTGCAACAGAAAACAACAGCCATCCAATTGTCACTTTGCTCATTCACTCACTTACAAATGCATGAATCTGATGAAATTCCAAAGATATCTAAGGTATGCTGTTTAGAATTATGAATAAAACACCTATCCAGTTGCTCTCCTTATCAATTATTTCACTTAATCGCCTTCAAGTTATTATGGATTACTCACTAATGAAGCACAAATTCCAGTAAACTTATATAAATTACGAAATGCGCAAAAATAATAAAGAAAACCATTCGGGTCGTATTTGTAACTGTAAATCAAAGAGCTCATTGTCAACGAAATGTGAGGGTAAATTATAACAATTTTACATTTAAATTGATCAAAAGTATAAATAAAAAAAAAGATATAAAACATTTATTACGATATTTGAAATCTAATATCCAAACGACATAAACTTTATTACACACCTTTGAATTGCTTTGAACTAGCATTCTGTAAATGTAAGATTTTTTTTGTTTATTCTATTTTTATGGACTAATTTATATTTAAAGCTTGTACAGTTGCGTATCTAATAAACAAGCTTTAAACAACATACGTTAAATGAAGGCAACAGTAGTATACCGCTGTTCAATAGTTATACATCGATTTAACTGAAACAAATCCGCGTCACAAACCAAAACCGAGGGAAACACATCAACTTTAAGAGAAAAACAACGGAACAACAGATACAATGAGCTGCTACAAAAACAGACGTCAATATACATAGCATCTGACTATGTGATAACTACTGCCATATTTCTGACTTGGTACAGGATATTTTGAGAAAAAATGGTGGGTTGAACCTATTTGTATGGCCAACCAAACCTCCTGCTTATATAGCAATGTTCAAAATACCGTTAAAATTACAACATTACGTGAGAGGAATACAGTACAAATACACGCAAGAACACCCAGGACAGAGAAATACATAAATAAACAATATAATAGTACACTACAACATGTAAACTAAAGAATAACAACGGACACCTCCAATGAAAACCACAATAAAATTATGATTTGTGCGTCACACGAATGTATCAACGCCACAAAAAGAGACGTCACAAGTAAATTTCTGAAAATAGATAATATAATTGAGATTAAGTTTGTAATGGTGTTTTTTTCTGTATTTTCTGAGCATTACAAGAATATTAATATAGAATTATGTTAGTAATGGTGTAAATATTTGTATTTTCTAACCATGTCCGACATACATATAGAAAATAAAAATAAAAAACACGTTAAAGCGTGTTCAAAATTGTCGATCACACATTTTCTAACCAATCTATTGATAATTGTTTTTCTTTACAAATTCTTATGTCGTTTAATCCGTTACCGAACGTATCTTCCTTTTTAAAGAATAAAACAACATTAACTCTTTGCTTTAAAGACAATAACACAAACATGTTATCTTTATCGAAATATTTTCCAGAATATCCTAAAGATTTAGACGTTGTTTTAAGACATGATTTTTACCATAATGAAATCTGCAGTGTATACAAAAATGGACGTCGATGACAATTTGCAGAATTTATCACTGAACCTATCACTTTGTTTCTGAGAATAAATATTTTCTTTGAAAGTATTAGCTTATCGTATCAAGTCACCAATGATCACTCTTTACGACGGCAGAACTTCAGAGATTCGTAATCGTTGGTATTAGTAGTCATACTCTGCCACTGATTAACTATAGATTTTGTTATCATTTGCTTCGTGATAAAAATATTGTAACAATATATACATACAGGTAGTTAAGAGCTGGTAGGTCTTGAAATGTTCCTTGCAGTATTGTAGTTATTTGATTGCTCTTAAAAAACCTGAAACACAATAACGGTAATGTTCAATATATTTTACACTAAAAATATATTGGTTATTATCATTGATAGATACATATTGATAAAACTTTGGATACATATCATATAAGGATATTGGTGTGACCCTGAACCCAGTCAATAAATAGGATTAAATGTAAGCATTAGTAGTTTATATAATACAGATACGATAGCTAAGATTTGATTCTTTATAAAGACACCATAAAACCGGAAGGTTTCTGTTTTTTTTAATTATTGAAAAGTCAGTTAAATATTTGTTTTAGTTGACAGCGATTTAAGAAATAAAACTTAGTGTATACATTTTAGAATAGTCTCGGCAATCACTGAGGTTTCTATAACAGTCTTTATATGTCGTTTGAGACATGAATATTTTTTTAAAATAAATTTAACCATACGAAATCACATAGAAGTGCAACAGAAAACAACAGCCATCCAATTGTCACTTGCTCATTCACTTACTTACAAATGTATGAAACTGATGAAATTCCAAAGATATCTAAGGTATGCTGTTTAGAATTATGAATAAAACACCTATCCAGTTGCTCTCCTTATCAATTAATGCACTTAATCGCCTTCAAGTTATTATGGATTACTCATTACTGAAGCACAAATTCCATTAAACTTATATAAGTTATGAAATGCGCAAAAATAATAAAGAAAACCATTCGTGTCGTATTTGTAACTGTAAATCATTGTCAACGAAATGTGAGGGTAAATTATAACAATTTTACATTTAAATTGATCAAAAGTATAAATAAAAAAAGAGATAAAACATTTATTACGATATTTGAAATCTAATATCCAAACGACATCAACTTTATTACACACCTTTGAATTGCTTTGAACTAGCATTCTGTAAATGTAAGATTTTTTTTTGTTTATTTTATTTTTATGGACTAATTTAAATTTATAAACTTGTACAGTTGCGTATCTAATAAACAAGCCTTATACAACATACGTTAAATGAAGGCAACAGTAGTATACCGCTGTTCAATAGTTATACATCGACTTAACTGAAACAAATCCGCGTCACAAACCAAAACCGAGGGAAACACATCAACTTTAAGAGAAAAACAACGGAACAAAAGATACACTGAGATGCTACAAAAACAAACGTCAATATACATAGAATCGGACTATGTGATAACTACTGCTATATTTCTGACTTGGTACAGGATATTTTGAGAAAAAAATGGTGGGTTGAACCTATTTGTACGGCCAACCAAACCTCCCGCTTATATGGCAATGTTAAAAATACCGCTAAAATGACAACATTACGTGAGAGGAATACAGTACAAATACACGCAAGAACACCCAGGACAGAGAAATACATAAATAAACAATATAATAGTACACTACAACATGTAAACTAAAGAATAACAACGGACACCTCCAATGAAAATTACAATAAAATTATGATTTGTGCATCACACGAATGTATCAACGCCACAAAAAGAGACGTCACAAGTAATTTTTTGAAAATAGATAATAAAATTTAGATTAAATTTGTAATGGTGTTTTTTTTTTCTGTATTTTCTGAGCATTACAAGAATATTAATATAGAATTATGTTAGTAATGGTGTAATTATTTGTATTTTGTAACCATGTCGGACATACATATAGAAAATAAAAATAAAAAACACGTTAAAGCGTGTTCAAAATTGTCGATCACACATTTTCTAACCAAACAAAAAATCATTCTTTAATAAACGTTCAACTTATTAATTTCAGAATTAAAATGTTCAAAGAGAGCCGAAAGATACCAATAGGACATTCAATTTCATAAGATGAATATAAACACACAGTCAAACAGACAAACATCAGTACATAAAACACAATATAGAAAACTAAAGACTGAGCAACACGAACCCCGCTAAAAACAGGCGGTGATCTTAGATTCTCAGGAACGGTAAGCAGATCCTCCTGCACAGTGGTATCCGTCGTGTTGCTCATATATGTACAAACTCATTGATAAGTATATTTTGGTAGGTCACATAAAATATTGTAATCGCAAATTGAGTTGTTGAAACAATAGAAATTAATCATTTAAAAGAAAAAAACACCCAAGTTTAATTATATAAAAGAAGAAATTTAGGATACTAGTATACGGTTCACATGCGAGTTCGAGGATGCAAGTTGTCCCTCTTCCGAGAGGCAATGGGTACATGCAGTCGGTAATAAGACTTCGTTTGGGGTGTATATGTAAGCTATTTTTATTACATACGTCAAATATCAAGAATTCTCTAAATTATGAAATCATTGATAATATTTGTACTTACAGATATTTTTAGTTAGTGAGATTTTCAAAAGTGTCTTCCCTGACAAATGTCAGATTGTTTCCATTCAAACTTCTGGAAAAAAAATAGTACACACTAAAGTATCATGACTGTAATATCTATATATGCGTTACATTATAAATCAAACTGTCATACATATAAACAGTTTACATATATTTCAGATGTTAAATAAAATTGAGAATGGAAATGGGGAATGTGTCAAAGAGACAACAAACCGACCATAGAACAGACAACAGCAGAAGGTCACCAACAGGTCTTCAATGCAGCGAGAAATTCCCGCACCCGGAGGCGTCCTTCAGCTGGCCCCTAAACAAAAATATATACTAGTTCAGTGATAATGAACGCCATACTAAACTCCAAAATGTACACATGAAACTAAAATTAAAAATAATACAAGACTAACAAAGGCTAAAGGCTCCTGACTTGGGACAGGCGCAAAAATGCGGCGGGGTTAAACATGTTTATGAGATTTCAACCCTCCCCCTATACCTCTAGCCAATGTAGAAAAGTAAACGCATAACAATACGCACATTAAAATTCAGTTCAAGAGAAGTCCGAGTCTGATGTCAGAAGATGTAACCAAAGAAAATAAACAAAATGATTTTGATTCCATAAATAACATATACAGTACGATCCGTGACATTCCTTGATAATTGTCGACGATAAATCTATGGTGACCATGATGGCCCTATATTTCAAACAAATATTCACCTTCTGTTTGATTATTAACAAGGTAATTGTTGGATTAAGTTTCACCAGTCAAGCGTTCAGGTACGTGCCAATTGTACAAGGTGAATAATTTAAATACATAAAGTAACATGTGAGGTGTAATAGTTGAGGCAGATCAGGTAAATCTTAATTACATCTATGCTCAAGGTGTCACAGTTGATGTGTTTTGACATAATTGTACATAAGATGTTATCATAATAATAGATTTATAAATCAGCACATCAATTTGAATTAACATCTTTTCAGGTCTGTCTTGCGAAGGTGTTTAAACAGCGGTATACTACTGTTGTCTTTATTTACATATTAGCCAAACATTTTGTTTTCTCGAATTATACAGTCGATATGAAAATATATTAAAAAAAAAATATTGCAGTCATAAAGAAAAATATTATCTACAAAAATTAAGTTTTGAAATGACAGAAAACTTCGTAACCATGCGCTAATTAATAGACTTTCGGACAAAAACCTTTCATAGTGTATGCATTGATTTGAATTTTTAAAACACGAATGAATAAGATATATTTCATGTTATTTTCGGTATAATAAACTGAAAACAATAACGTTTTTTGTTTTTGATAAATGAGCTCATTAATAATAATTCCATAAAACAATTGAGTTGTTATCTTATACATTTATACATGTTATAGTTATCTAACTGATGTAAATAATTTAGTTTTCATATTTCTCTTAAATAATTTGAGTTCATTTCTTGTACATCTTATTTGTCTGGTCAACCCTTAATCTGGAGATTTTTTTACGCATGTTCTGAGAATCTGTTTGGGGTGGCTCGGGTTTTTTCAATCCAATATTCCTTACATTTTCAAACCGATTTTTGGTTTAGTGTATATTTATGTAAACAATATTAACAAGTGCTAAACAAAACATTTTAAAGTTTTAAATATGTGTTTTAGGCTATTGTCTGTCAATGATTAATTTTCTGCAGTTTTGTCTTTATAAATTACTCCTACGCAAATGACGTTATATAAGTGCCTCCTAGCAAATGACAGCTTTTATTAAGGCTTCAATTTTATGTTGTGACTAAAGATTAAAACGTCGCTGATTTAATCACAATTGCCGATTAAAAAAAATACTGACTAATTTATCAAATTATGCATTTGTTAACCAGTGAATCAATTTATTAGGGAAATTTAAAAAATAAATACATTTAGCTAAAAAGATAGTTGGTCACTATATTTTCATTGCGACTCATCAGTGAGCTGGCTGTGTCCTTGTTTCGTAAATTATTCTCTTTACAGTAGTGTTTGACAAAATTGACCCTTTACGTACAGGTTCAGGCCGAACATCAGTTGCAGAGATGGGCCGTAGGTTGGCTAATGCTGAACTTATTGTTGAAATGTCTCCGTCAGTAACATTTTGGAACTTAATGAAATTATTGTTCGGTTCGTCTTAAATATCCATTAACTTGTACTTCGATATGAAATGGCGAACTGTTCTCCAGTTTACACCTATGCCATGTTGATTTGACAAATAGCGGACTATGGCCCTTATTTTCCAATTTGGCGGTAGAAGGTCTCTATTTCTAGTCTATGTAAGTGACTCAAATTAAACTTTTTAACGTTTCACAATTTTCTTATATAAAATTTCTTAGGTTCTACCGTATCAAGTGTATTTATTTTTGTTTTACATGTATCTAAACATTTGTGTTTGAATTTTGCCAATAATACACTTAACTCCCATTTTATCCTTATATAAAAAATGACATGTAACATGATGAAAGAATGCTTAACGGTAATACATTTGTACATATACATCAAAGAGTCATTGAATACATCCTGTGTTGAGATAAGCATAATTTTTTTTTATTTTTTTTTTTTTTTTGCATTTATACATTTTTTTTTAAACTGTTTTTATAACCATCGAGCTCAACTTGCTGGTTTCACAATGTTCTGAGAATCTGTTTGGGGTGACTTGGGTTTTTTCAATCCAATATTCCTTACATTTTCAAACCTTTTTTGCTACTCTTTATACATTTTGAGAATTACTCTCTATTCTTTGTATTTAAGCATCCAATTTATCTCTATAAGTTATTTTTTATGGCTTTTTATCTCTATTTTCTATTTGTTTCGCATTTTTTTCTTTATTTTTGGCCCAGCACTCTCTATTCTGTAAACTCCACCCAGACCCTTACATTCTGTTTTGAAATCACTTAGGCTCTATACGGTATATTTATTTCTGTGTCTAAAAATAATATTGTCCTAACATTATGAATTAGAGATCATTATCGTCAATTTCGTTTCTGCATAGAGACAATTATAAATGCATATCTTAGATAAATCAAAGATACCAAAGGAACATCATAAGTCGAAAATAGACTGACAACGCCAAAAATGGAAGCTATTAACACGGCCAAAAAAAAAGACACACAACACAACAAAGAAAACTAAAGACTGAGCAATATGAACGCCACCAAAAAACTTGGGTGATCTCAGGTGCTCAGAGGGGTAAGTATATCTTGCTCTATATTTGGCACTCGTCGTGTTGCTCATGTTAGTACAAACCCGGTGATAAGTCTAATTCGTGAGATCACATTTGGGGAAAAAGGGACGGGATTGTAGTTTCGACAATAGGAACATATCCGTTGTCATCTGTGTAACGGATATTCAATAACGGTCAACTAACTCGTGATGGCGTCCGTAAAATTTACGAAGGGGTGATTTCAAATTCACTAATTGAAATTTTTGATTTAATAGCTTCCTTGTGAGCAGCAACACCCTAACAGGGAAATCATGATAGGAAATACAAGCCCTGGAATGTTGTATCAACGGGGAGATATATACTAAATATATAAGTTTACATTTGGGATGCTGATTACTATCTTCATCGTGCTTTTCTATAACATCTTCATTGATGATAAATTATCAAATTCAGACACATATGTTAATCACTCAAATAAGATTATTTCCATTACATAATGCATACCAAACTCTATAGAATTTTCTATAGGATGTTGTTTTAACCCAGTTTTCGTGCTATTTTACGGATCAATTATCAAGCTTGCTAGGCATAAACACATATTGAAGCATATTGCTTCAGACATTTAACATAATTAATAGACCAATTAATCTGCAGACAAGTTCATAATGTACAAAACTTATCTAATTTCCATAATATAATTTAGTAGTTTCCATTTTGACCCAATCAGATTTTCTCAGCAAAACGAAAATACAACCTTACCTAGCTACAGTCTGATAGATATAGATGCATTTTACTTTATTATCATAATTAAATATCTTAACATAAATAACTGCCAGAAATGAGACTAAAGAAAATAGCCATTTCTTATTCAAATGGAGTAGCCGAGACTGAACTACTTGTAGTACCGATATCAAAATTGGAGACCACTACAATACAATTTGAGGTGATTCAAAGAAAAGGAGACTTTAAAATTGTTATTTGCTGGTTCTCCACTAAGCACGCAGCATTAATGAGTAAAATCAAAGACTGGTCGGCTCATAGTCGGAATAAGGTGTCCTAGTAAGGTTACCTTGTGAACTAGAACGTTAAAAATCCGGCTCGACGTGTCGGTCTAGTACAAAGAAGGTATCATATTCATAATACATTAACATTTTCTCTTCCTGGAGATGCATAACAATTTGCCCCTGGACGTTAACAGCCATCCATCATCATTATCATCATCAACAAGACATGCAAGATTAGTGCCGTTCAATAGTATGAACAATGCAATAGACTGTAATAACATAAACGGAACAAATTCTCCAGCACCAGATGCGCATTTCGACAAGTAATTTCTTTTCAGTGATACTACAGGCAAACAATCATATTAACCCACAGTTTTGGTGGGGTTCGTGTTGCTCATTCTTAAGTTTTCTATGTTGAGTTTTATGTACTGGTTGTCTGCTGTTCCTTTTCTTTTTTTTTTTTTTTTTTTAGCCGAGGCGTTCTCGAGTTGTTTTCGACTTATGGGTGTGAATGTCCCTTTGGTATATTTCGCCTATTATTGAAACATAGAAGCTGAAAATCTCAAGATCTAATATCCCAACCAATGGTCAAAATTTGATGTTGAACATACTAGAGGGTAGACATATATCAGTGAATATCAGATGTTGAACTTTACACTTCATATTTATCTTGGCTATCCATGAAGTTCCTATAAACAGTCCTAATATTTCGATTGAGTTTTAAAATTCTTAACAATACAAATAAACCTGAATTTCATATGTGGCAACAGAAGATATTCATCACATCTTCCGCTCAGAGTTATACGAACTCTGATAGTTTTAGCATCACAATTTAGTTCGCCAAAAACAATCGTTCAGTGTTGATCGGCTGATTTCAAATCCACTCTAAATGTATAAAAGTTCAAATGCATTGAAATAGATGTGGAATCAAATGATTTAAAATGATCTAGCATGAGTCCAAGCACGAAATGATTTCACAATATTATTATAATGAATTTAATCTTAAAAAAATCAATCCAAACTACAAGAAAAGACGATATTTTCATTACATTGTACACTTATAATGGAGGTATGATTCCATATCTTTCCGTCCATAGATCATAATATAATCAAGGAAAACTGAAGAGCGAGCAAGAATAACAACAGAAAAAAAAAATGGATGAACAAAAGTCAACAAAATATAATACAAAAAACTGGAGAGTGAAAAAATCATTATATGAATCAAACACCAGTGGTTAACTGAGATTGAAAGTCTCTACCTGAGAATCAGAGTTTTTACCTTTTATCATTTAGAACACGAATTCATGCATAAAAAAGGGGGAGCCGCACTAGAATATTTCCCCTACATACATCAGTCTGTGATTGCCAATATATCAGGTAAAAGGTTTGTTGACTATATCATATATATGAGATATAATGTCCAGATAAAAAGACTGTTGTCCTTGGAACATGTATGTATTCTAATGACATTTAATTATAAAATGTTTTTGAACTTTAAGGAAACAAAAACATTCCAAACAATTTTTATCTGACAATGCTTCATCATGATTGCAACAAAACATATGGTGGCAATTTGTATTTATTACATAATGGTAGCTGCAAACAGCTGGTAAAATTTTGCATACACAGTTGTAAAAATGAAGTATTCTTGTATGCGTTTAGTTTATTCCCAGAATTATTGATAGAATCTACGAAATTATATCCGTGTCAATCATTTTGTTTTTCTTTGCAAATTTTTATGTCGATAAATCTATTACAATACTTATTTTCCTTTTTACAGAATAAACAGCAATATCTCTTTTATTAAAAGAACCAAAAAAACAATCTGTATCGCAATATTTTGTTTAAATATCCTTAAAATTTGTATGTTCTGTTAACACATGTTTGTTACCATAATGCAATCAGCAGTGTATACATGTAGGACGTCGAGAGATTTAGCTACTTATACAACCAGGTTTAATCCAGCCGTTTATACATAAGGAAATGCCTGTACCACGTCAGGCATATGACAGTTGTGTTCCATTTGTTTGAAGCGATTGAGCTTTTGATTTTGCCTTTGATAAGGTATTTTCCGTTTTGAATTGTCCTTTGAGCTCGTTTTTTTTTACCTGTTTTAAGAAGTACCGTTACCAATAAAAGTATTAGCAAATACTGTTAAGTCAGACGAACAGGGTCCCCAAAACCCCAGAAGATCGTTCCGATATATAATACTAAACATACTCTGCCACTGATTGACTTTAAATTTTGTTTTCAATTGCTTCTTGATAAAATATTGTAACATTATATACATACAGGGTGTTAAGCGCTATTAGGTCTTGAAATGCTCCTTGCTGTATTGTAGTTAATTGATTGTTTTGCAAATATCTGAAACAAAGTAATGTTAATGTTCAATATATTTTACACTGAGGAAATCGTTTGTTTTCATTAATATATTTTGATAATTATCATATAAGGATATTTGTGTGACCATGACGCCAGTCATTTAACAACTTTAATTATATGCTAACATATTTAACGATTTTAATACAAGCCACATTGACAGATGTTTTTAAATGAATTATTTGATCATTATTATATTTTTTTCAACCAAAGTATGTTTATTTTGTTGTTTTTTGTTGTTTAATATATATATACATATATATATATACGTCAAAACATGTGACAACTTTACGACAGACGGACTCCATCGGATAACCTGTGGTTACATGTATATTGGGCTAACACCATAAATTACATATATACTAGTCAACAAAAGAAACGGTACAAGGAAATGTATTTTCCATATATCATGAAATTGGATACACTGTACCGAGGTAAATAATTGCCCTATTGGTCTAAATTTTACAGAGTGTTATTTTCTCATCAAAACCATTGATTTAAGGCAAAAAAGCGAAACACTAATTTTGAAAGTTTTGTTATTTCAAAAATCGGTGTTAGCACTTTTAACTTTTAAACTTAAACATGGTCTGCTTAAAATTTTGAATGCCTTTGCAGATATTTGAATACTTAACTATATTCTTCGAAATTAAGTGCCGACTTTTGTGATCATTTTCCGCAAAATAAATTTGACCTCTGTGTTCAATAACTCGGTATTTTGTAACTTTCTAATTTGGTCATATTCTTTTAAACATATGTATTTGCATGAATTTAAAAGATTTTCCTATTTATTATATTTATGATAAATTTTAGTTCAAACTTGTGTATCGTTTCTTTTGTTGACAAGTATATTTCATCTCACATTTAGCCCTACAATATTAGATCTGCAATTTGGCGATAGAAAATTTTTGTTCTATCCTCAGCGGGATTCGAACTCATGAATCTGAACCTACTTTCACCGCCTGCATTATGTCCAGCGCCCAAGACCACTCGACCAACTGGGCTATATAAAATATGGCTTCTGTTTGTTGCGTAATGCCTTTCCTCGTCGGCGTTATCCAGAGTTGTAACACAGTATTTGATATATAGTGTCAAGTAGATGGTATAATTTGCAGATCAGCTGTTGTTTTTTTTCAATCGTAAAGTATGATAATTTTACTGACCATGCCGTCACATCAAATTTTAATTTTATTGTGAACGTCTAAAATGTGACAACTTTACGACAGACGTTCGCCATCGGATATCTTGTGGTTATACAGGGCTAACACCATAATTTACATATGCTACTTCTCAAATGTATCCCCACGATGCTAGATCTGCAAATTAGCGTCGGCAAATTTTGGTTCTTTCCTCAGTGGGGTTCGAACCCCTGCTAATTAGCCATCGTCTATATATCAGAATCAAACATGATACAAATTTCTAATAATTTACATTGTTAGGGAACGGGGATCCATGGGGGCAATCAGCATTTGAATATTAAACAAAACGGGTCACCAATAGTTACTCCATTCGAAGGCAGAACACCAGAAGGTCGTTACGATTGACAGTTCTAAACATACTCTGCTACTGATTTTCTTTAGATTTTGTTTTCATTTGCTATTTTATAAAATATTGTAACATTGTATACATACAGATCTGTTACTGCTGGTAGGTTTGAAAATGCTCCTTGTTGTATTGTAGTTAAATGATTGTTTTGCAAATCTCTGAAACAAATGAATGTTTATGTTCAATATGTTTTACACTAAGGAAGTCGTTTTGATAAATATCATATAAACTTTGTATGGCTATGACGCCAGTCAATTAATAACTTTGACTATAGGCAGAACTAATTCACCGATTTTTATACAAGCCACGGCTGTGCAGCATATTTTTAACATGTATATGACTCGAAATTTAAGAGTTTAAACTTATTCTAAAATCCTGTACTACCCCTCCCTTCACTTTGGGTCTTCTTCATAATTCAATTTGGTCGTTATCAATGCGTGTTTATACTGGTAACATTCACAAGTTGTGTCTATCAGATGAAATATAGAGATCATATCAAGGAATCAGTCGTTAGACAAAACAAAATATCTATGAGTATTATATATCTCCTCAAGAGAGGCGTGGTTTGTGAAACAGTTGTATTTTCAAAATGCAACCAGTAGGGCAATAGAAAGCTGTCACGTTGGTTAATTAACTAAAAACATTTCTATGCATGGTATTTATATTTTCTCTAAAACAGCTTGATTAACAGCTATATTGATTATGTCATTCAAATTTCTAACGAAGAGTTTAAATCATTACAGATAGAACGGGTATATATTTTTTGTAATTTTGATAAAATTTGACCCGAAAGAAGTACTCCATGCTATAAAATATTTTTGAGAAAGAGTAGGTGCGATTTTTTAAATTTGTATTTATTTTCTACAACAACAAAAAATGCATTACGAAATAATTGTGCTCTCGAGCATGAGAGAGGAATTATGTAAAAGAACAGGATTTCATTCTTTTTTTTCTTTGAGAAATTCGGTATAATTATCCCATTTTCGCATTTTATTGGCAAAATAAGCATTGTGCAGCTGTTTCCATTTTAATGCCTTAGTGACATGCTGATGTTCTATCCAGCAGGTTTAAAATTTGTGTTTCTATACTTATTTCAAGTTTTCTGAACTATTTGTTAACTCTAAATCTAGAGGAAAGTATATTATTACAGAAAATAGAACAAAGTAACAAATATTTATTTCCTGTATCTTCTGTATGCATTTCCATATGTATATATGTGTTAATGCCTAAATTGACCAAAAGTAATTTCAGTTTTACATGGCCTAAGACCATTTAATACGCATGTGGTATGATATCTAATCAAAGTACATGCACATTTTTATGTCTGAAAGAATTATTTATTACAAAACAACTCCAAAACAATATGCATTGGTGAAAAGAAAATTGCATGTTCATATTAGGCCTCGATTCATTCAAAAATCATTATTTTCAAACACAGCCTAATATAGATTTTTCTAAATCCTGAATCATTGTAATAAATCTGATATATCAAATGACTGTTCTGTTGATTTTAATACATGATATCTCATATAAAATGACATTGAAAAAAAAGTGTTGCAATATTTAAATATTTAAGGCCCAAATCGTGATAGTTAAAATTGTTCGATTTAACCGTCAAAAATAAACACACAACGTTCAAAGTTAAATTGACAATTTTGCCTATAATACGTTGCATATTTCAATGAAGCTTTTTCAACTGTCTTATAATTCCCTACGACACGGTCAAGCCAAGTTTTTGTAAGTTTGGTCCAGTTTTTCCATCCTATGCGGTCCAGGGACACAGTTATCGTCCTTTGATTTTCTTTGTCTACACCTTAAGTCCCTAATGTGGATAGTGTATAACTTGCACATTGTTATTCATACACCTTCCAAATTCATTCCTAGATATGTTGTGCATAAAATAGTAAATACAAAGTTACGGGTAAAAAAAATGAGTCATGAAATTTTAGTTAAAGTAATAAGTTGGTCAAGTAGAAAAGGGATACAAATATAAGTATTCTGAAGCTGTAAAACGAATTATAGATATCATTTTCATAGAATTGTCCATATTTTGAATTAGATCTGCAGACTTTACTATAGTTTTGCTACAGTTTACCCGAAAGTAATACACTACTCTGTAGAAACCTTTTTAAGATACAGCTTTTGTATGTATTGTCTAAAAGAAATGCACTATGAAATAACTGTGTTCTCGGGTAAATAACGAATTTAATAATCTGACATAAAGAAATGTGTCTTTGTTGAAGTAGTTATTTGTTTTTGTAGTGATTAGGATTATGTTACAATGTTTTCGGCTGTATCCCAATTTTTGATATGTTTACCTTTTATGTCTGTTTGTTTTGCCCACACATTGCAGTCAATATAATGGAATTCTATGCGACTGTCATACAAGTGAGAGGTTTAGCTAGCTATAAAACCAGGGTTAACCCACCATTTTCTACATTAGGAAATGCCTGTACCAAGTCACGAATATGACAGCTGTTTTCCAATCGTTTGAAGAGTTTGTGCTTTTGATTTTGCTATTTTAGAAAGGACTTCCCATTCTGAAACAAGAAATAAGACTACCAAAGGGTAGAGGTTTTTGACTTGGGCAGGCGCATAAAAACGAGGTGACTAAACATGCTTAATGAGATCTCAACCTTTCCCTATATCTCTAGCCAATATAAAATAAACAAACACACAGGAATACGCACAGCTAGTAAACCTCATTTCAAAGGAAGTTCAAGTCCGTGGTTAAAATAGGTAGCAGAAGAAACTAGGCGAATTGACGATGATAACATACATTAACAAAGGACTACTAGCAGTTACTGACATGCCAGCTCCAGACCTCAATTAAACTGATTGAAATATTGTATGTCTTCATCATATGCAAATCAATCACAATCCTGTTAGGGGTTCAGTATCATGCCATCATAAATTATACGTGAAAATTATAACCCGTATCATGCCGACAACTACTTTTTAGAATAAATGTTTTTATTTCCGATGCAAAGACCCTATAAGTGAATCAATATCAATTCCAGAAAATGTCATCGTTAATGACTTGACAACAGTATCGTAACTATATTCCTTCTGAATAAGTCTATTTAAAGGTTTGGATAAGTTTTCTAGTGAATGACGACATTGTTGTGCTTTGTATAGAATATTACCATAACAGATGAGATGTGAAATACCTGAACGTATAAGATGTCTGCAATTTATTTATATTTACGGATGATGTCCTTGTACCGATGATAAAATTGAGTAAAAGTGTTAACAAGCTTGTGATATCAAACATGTCAAAAACTCTGGTGTAATATTTGTTTAGTATTACATGTATTACATATATTTCTTTCTTTAAAATCAAATAAGTTGTTACATACAAGAGCGAATCGACCAAGTGGAGATACATAAACACCATAAGATGGTGCAAAGGGAACGTCGCCTTCTACAAACGCATAATTAACAATAGGAATGAATAATCAACTCTTTGATAGTAAAATTTAGAATTAAACTTCCCTATAAAGATAATGCTATACAATCGTGTACCTTTAGTATATAAGAAAATCTATATAAAACTTCGTCAACCGTAAGGGGCGTAACTCCGAGTATCATTCATGCATACAGAACACGACTGAACATGATCTGACAACTATAAAAAAGAAGATTATGTCTGAGAGGTTCTATACGTATCTGAATCGAACGTAGGAACAATAATTCTTGTTTATTTTTACATGTGTTATCACATCTTAAATGCCTACAGTCACTATCGATAAGAAAGGAGACAGAAGATACGAAAAAGGTATGAACGTATTTCTCTTGCGGAAAATTAAGTCGATTAAGACTTCATCACACCGATGTCCCGGTTTCCGACCGAATTTGTACCAGTTAGAGCAGAAACCTCTTACCCTTCTGGAGCACCTGAGTTTATCCTGTTTTTTGTTCGGAAATCTTAAAGAGGCATTAGCTACAAGATAAAAAAATAAAAAAAATTGTGTTTTTTCTGTTCTATCATTAATGAAAGTGAAACAGCAATTCGCTTTTAGCAGCCAGTTTACTTGAATTTTGTCAAAATAACCTCGAAGATGAATTATTCACATGCAAGTGAATGATTCAACCTCATTGAATCTGTATTCATGTGACCTTCAATTTAACATATTAGCAAGAGATTGGTTACGCATGTATTAGTCATGTTAAGCCATTAAAATGAAAATAATATCAACATTCAAAGTGAAACAAAGGTGACCATTTCGTTGACATATTAATCCACAAAAACTCATTCTTATACAGGTAAAAACGATGATTAACATACTTTGTTTAAACTTATAACATAAAAATCAAACAGACCTAGAACAGTTCAATTGCACGAGGTCGCTATCTATTTATATGTATGTTTATGTTTATATCGGGTTATATGACCATCGGCAGGCTTCGGAGGTCATCTCGATGATTGATTGAATGGCGTCCAGACTAAAATACACACGAAATGATGATATATATCATCGAGTCCATGCATTGTTACCTGTTTATTTATATATAAGTTTTAGTATGTTATAAATCAAATATGAGAATTTGAGTCAGATCGGTGAACAAGATTTTGTGTAAATTTTGTAGAAAGTTGTTTGTCTATTAGTTGTATTTTTTTTCATTGCGTTGTCTGATTTGATTGCCTCATTATTTTGATTACCCCTTGGTATCTTCCCCTCATTTGAATACTTAAACGTTAAGTTTCGGTATAATTAGTATATTTGTTTTAAAGCGCATGTCCAAAATATGATTCACGTGCACTGAAACTAATACCATTGTTTATATTATAGCATATTACTATATAAGTAAACTAAAAACTAAAATGTTACTACTCACAATACGGGTGTCGAATTGGGAATTTCAGACGGCACTGTTGCTAGATTTTTATTATTGCAATCAACCGTCGTGGCCGTGCAGCTACATACAAGTGGACACCCATTGACTGTACATTTCAAAACAGTGCATATAATAAACACAATTATACGGTGCATTGTCTCCTACAATATACCTGCAAAAACAATTGCACTCTAAGGGGTATTATGTTAAATAAAAGATGCGGTGAAGGTGTTGTAAAAAAGTAATAAAATGTTACCATTCTACTCCAGGTATTTTTGTATGTGCAACATAATCTTTATTTTTCAACAATTATATAAAAAGCAGCATATTTGAATAACAAAAAGGTTACACTTGTCGAACAACCGTTTGAAATGTATTTCAACTTCAATCTTCAACTACACCAATACGATCTCATTCGGATCATTTATGCATTTTTTTTAATTTAGTCATAATTTGTAATTTCTAATGTTTCACTTAAACAGATTGAATTCCTTTTTTCGTCATTACCGATTTTGTTTTTCCAAATCATATTCATCATTCTAATTTGTGGAAAAACGTTTCAAAAAGACAAAAAATACTATGGGGTTATATAAAATCACAGATTGAAGAAAAACAAACACTCTATGGTAAAATGGAAAACTACAAAAGTCCGCAATACACTTAAATCAACTACCGTGCTAAAACGAGATACACGAAATACCCAGCAATCGTGATACAACAAGATTTGTTATAAAACAAAAAAGAAACAACCTTGAAATGCGCTAGTTGCATTCCGTCATAAAATATTATCATCTGAACATTTATTATATTTACTCCTCTAGTTTCTTGACATTTATTCAGCAGGAAAGCAGATTTTTTCATAAATTTGCTAAGAATACTAGTTATCATGGTTATTTATTATATAGATGATGGTTATTTATATAAATTTTAGATCTCGCATGTGAAACAACTCGTTTGTTTCTACTCTTGAGACTTTTCCCGCTATTTTCAGATCACTACAGGTATGTTCCAATTATTTGTACTGTCACTTAATGTTTGTTTTTGTTGCATTTCGGTGTTCCTGTTGTTCCTTTGTTGTCCTCTTATAGTTGATGTGTTCCCCTAGATTTTGGTTTTTAAACCGGATTTGTTTTCTCTAAATTGATATGTGACTTTTGAACACCGGTATACTACTGTTGCCTTTATTTAATGTTGTCATTTTAGCGGTGTTTTAACATTTGCGATATAAATAATGGCAACAGTAGTATACCGCTTTTCAATAGTCATAAATCGATTAAGCGAAAACAAATCAGGGTCACAAATCAAAACGAACTATTCGAAAACAACTGTCACATTCTTGGCTTGGTACATGACATTTTAAGAAAAAATGGTTGGTTGAACCTTGTTTTATGGCTATATATCTTTGAGGTTTTTGTGTCCGGTTAAGCCATGACGGGAGGTGATAGAATCTCTTTTAAGGAAGGATCATTTTCAGTAAGACGCGAGTATTTGTGGACAATAGATGAAAGATATTCATCCAAAGTATCTAAACACGAGACATCGAAAATAGGAGATTATAAACCATGCGGAAGAGGCAACTGTAAGAGTTGCAAAGTCGCTGACATTGAAACCCAATTCGTCAGCACAATCACAAAAAAAAAGAATACAACATATATATTACATCCAATTGCAAAACACAAAATTGTATTCATGTTCTCACGATGTAATATGTTGGTGAAACAGAAATTCTGTCTATTTCAAATTTATTAGCTGTATGTAATAACTCAGCGCTAGAAAAATGCATGTGTACTTTAAAAAAAAAATCAATACGTATGTGATTACGAAAGCCGACGTAGAGTACCGAATCTCTCTGAATCCAAAAAGAGCCATGACTACGACAGCCGAGAACCTGGAGAAGGGTCATTCATAATTCAAAATTCTAAATTCTACATTATAAATTCAGAACTCGCAAATCAAGAAATATAATCTTGTTTTATTGCCGACCTTTCAAAAAACTAAATTTTTCTGTAAACACTATAAAATTTCCAATATTTATTTGCGTTTTATCAAGATCTTGATTATACCCAGTAATCCTTTTTTACAAACAGGTAAGCGTTATATCTATCGACAGAGATAGCAATCTTTTTATTTCTTCAATGAAGTTTTGAATTTTATAACAATAATAGAATAGATGCTCTTGGGTTTCAAATAAAGTGCAACATAAGTTATATAGGCTATCAGACTTTCGAATTTGGTCCAATTTAAATTCAGTATTTGGCAACTGCATTCGAACTTTGTGTTGAACTTTCTAAAATTCTATATATTAATTTAATATGATTGCTTTTTATGAAACTTTCCAAACTGGTCATTCTGATCCCCCTATGTTTTCATCTAGACAACATACTTTTCTTTTTAAAGGCTGACTTTAGACTTCCAAACAAAATTCTAGAAAAATGAAATTATTTCTTTTTTACACTCATTAGATATGCCCCTCATCTCAACCTCGTTTTTATAATCAATACTTTACCTCTGTGTGAATACAGTTTTTTTTATCTGTATGAATGTTATAACCATGATGCACCAACAAAGTTTTTATGTTATCCGTTTTCCGTTGGTATTTTGGTTCCCTGTATTTCTACATGCGCGCGAATGGCACATGCCATTGGTTCCGCTTGGATTATAAATTTAGAAAGGGGCTATAGGACATTCTTGTCTTATTGGTCGGGGCTATGTCAATGAAAGTATCCTAGGACATGTCATAAGAGATGTCTTAGGACATAATTTTTGATGGTCTCAGGACGTGTCTGAGACTTGTCTTAGGATGTAAAACAAAGCTATCTTAGGACAGTCCTACGTACAATTGTCCTAGAACCATCCTAATATATTTATGTGATTAATTAAAATATGTAGAGAAATAAATGACATATATTTTAATGTATATATGTAAAGGGCGGAAGGTTTAATCTTTATGGAAAATATAATTTACGCAAAATAAAGTTTTAACGCAATATTGATAATATACTATAACAATGATAAATAAATTTCATGCAACAACAAAACTAAATGGTCACAAAATTGTGTTAGAGGCGATATTCGTGCTGTAATTTTAGCTAGATAAACTAGTTTCCTTAGGTCCACTCCATCTCATTACATGTATTGAAAAAGAGGGACGAAAGATACCAGAGGGACAGCCAAACTCATAGATCGAAAACAAACTGACAACGCCATGGCCAAAAATAAAAAGACAAACAGACAAATAATAGTATAGATGACACAACATAGAAAACTAAAGACTAAGCATCACGAACCCCACCAAAAACTGGGGGTGATCTCGGGTGCACCGGAAGGGTAAGCAGATCCTGCTCCACATGTGGCTCCCGTCGTGTTGCTTATGTAATTACGAATCCGGTAAATAGTCTAATTCGGTAGGTAATATTCGTGAAAAGGGAAGGGTATTGTAGTTACGACATAAGGAACATATCCGATATCATCTGTGAAACGGTTATTCCATAACGGTCAACCAACTCGTGATGGCGTCCGTAAATTCACGAAGGGATGATTTCAACTATCATTTAGCACTCTTGGTTTAATAGCTTCCTTGTGAGCAGCAATTCTTTATCAAGGAAATCATGATAGGAAATACAAGCCCGGGAATATCGTATCAATTGGCACATATATACTTTGTATGCAGGCACTGCTGGGATGTTGCTACATAGAAATGGAATGTTCACAATTGGGAAGCTGAAATCATCTCTTTTGTCGTAAAGTTTTGTTTTCAACCGACCCTCATTGTCAATTTCTAGATGTAAGTCAAGATATGAGGCAGACTTAACTGTATCTGTAGTATCCTTTATCTCTAGTTCGATGGGGTAGATTCGTTCAATATAGTCACCAAATTTTGTATCATTTAGTGAGAGAACATCATCTATATAGCGGAACGTAAAGTTAAAGGATATTGCTAACTTCTTATCTTTCTTCCTAAGAAATTCCTGTATGAAGTCAGTCTCAAAATAATAAATAAACAAGTCGGCAAGAAGAGGGGCACAATTGGTTCCCATTGGAATTTCGACAGTCTGTTGAAAAACAGGTCTCCAAACGTAACAAATATGTTGTCAATCAAGAAATCAAGCATCTTGATTATGTCAGTTTCAGAATTTTTTGTTTGAATCAGAGTGATTCTTTACAAAGTAAGATTTGTTCCTCCCCAAGACAAGATACTTGTATCTACGTTCGCCATTCTTTTTAATGAAACAAAGTAATACCAATTCTTTCAATTTGTCTTTTAGTTTGGAATGGGGAATACTTGTGTAAAGTGTAGAAAAGTCAAATGTTTTAATACTATTGGAAGATGAGAGAGTCTTAGATTGTATGTACTCTAAGAGATCTTTGGAATTTTTTAGTATCCACGTCTGATTCACGCCACGTCTAGAATAGGCAGTTTCACAATACCTTTGGAACCCGGGTTTGATTGCTGACAAAATAGATGTTAATAATTAGAAAGAGGTTTCATGGAGCACTTGGAAGACCCAGCAATATACCGTTGTTTGTAAGGACACTTATGTAGTTTAGGTATCCAATATAGTGATGGTAGATCCAGTTCTTCATCTTTGGTTGAAATTCAAAAGGAACATAGAACGGACCTATGATTATCCAGGATTTCTTCTTTGATAAGTGTCATGAGGGTATATGTTGAGTTTCCAAATAAATTGTCAATACCTAATTCATTGATCAAGCAGTTTATGTAATGATATTCACACACAAAAACGATGTTGTTTGTGGCTTTATCTGAGGGGACAACAGCATATTTGTCACGGAGGTAGGACAAGTGTTTTGCAACATTTGGGTCTTTAAAAAATGGCGTAGCGTGGGTATTGATAGACCCATTTAGTTTCTTAATTCAAATTTGTATCAACGACCTCACAGCCTTAATTCATTCGGAAAGAGTATCTACGTCTTCTTTCTCGCGTTAAGCCCATTGTCTGGCATAATCCTCGACTGAATCCATCAGTATTTTGAAGTTGTATTTCCAATTGATGGATTTAGACTCACGATATTTCGGACCTTTGGATAATAAATTTCACAGGGAAGTGTTAGTGACAATGTTGAGGTCTCTGGTGATAACGTGGCCAGCCGGATTATATGTGAACTGGGAACTAGCACAGGTGCAATCAGGAGGTTTAGACTTGAAG